AAGTATGCATTAGAGTTAGGTGTCATGCTGAGTATCCCCTACTAAAGTTTCCTAAGCTTTTTTTTTTAGATGGTAATAACTGCAAGAACCAGGATATAAAATTATCTCTTTTTTTGCAGGCAAATTTTTAGATTTTGAGTTAATTTAGGTATGAATACTAACTAAATATGAAACATCAGGCCCGGGGTAGAAGTGAGGCCCTGGACCATCCCCTTCATCTTATGCCACAATTTTTTTTTTTTAACAAATAATGGGAATATATCAAATTCAATTTCTGTTTTGATTGCTGAGCTACATTCTGGTGCTGGTCAAGCTATCTCTGTCTCAATTAAATTCTTTGTTCTGCGATATCTCTCAGTTACTCTAACTGTCCATAAGCACAGCTTCTTCTGCTGCACTTTTCTACTTGGCACTTGTTGCGTTCACTTGGTTTTTATTTCTAGTAGCTAGCCAAGGCTAGCGCTAGCTTAGCACTGCCATGGCTTTTCCCTCTCCCCCTGACTCTTTTCTGACTTTTTTTAACCTTCCTCTCCTCTCTCCTGGTCTGTGTGTCAGATGTTCAGTTATTCCTTTGCCTACTTTAGTGATAATAGTAGGATTAATCATTGTAATATTTTTGTAGCTTTGGAGGCGAGATCAGGGACACGTCCAACAGTGCCTGAGCCAGGCAATTAGGTGATGGTGCAATGAAAGTGTAGTATCTGACCAATTTATCAGTGACACACCCACTGGGAAGCCTACTCTGGTGATTGGCAGCTCTATAGTTAGAAAACGTGGTATTAGAGGCACCATGGACCATAGCCAAATGTTTGCTGGGGGCCAGAACGGGCAACATCAAATCCTACCTGAACCCGCTGGCTAAGGAAAAGCTTAAATACAGCAAGTTGTTCTTCACACTGGCGGTAATGACACCCAGTTACACCAATCAGAGGTCAATAAAATTAGTGTTGCTTCGGTGTGTAAGGTCACCAAAGCATTGTCAGACTCCATGATTTTCTCTGGTCCTCTCCCTCATCTGACCAGTGATGACATCTGCATGTCATCACTCGTAAGATTTGCATGTCATCATTCAACCACTGGTTGTCAAGGAAGGGTCCTAAAAAACAAAGTGGGCTATATTTATAATTGGCAATCTTTTTGTGGGAAACTTGGTCTGATTTAGAGAGACAGCATCTATCAATTTGAATAGTGCAGCTCTTCATTTCAGGAATCTAGCCAAATGTTTTTTTGTCCTCCAAAAACCCTGACAACCCAATGGTGCAGACTAGGAAGAGTCATAATTTTAAAATGTCTTTGCAGCTTCTCTACTGTTACCCACTCATTACACCATCCAGACAGTATCTTGCCCACAACCAAAATCAAATGAATAAAAAAAAGAATCTTAATGATGTCATTGTCCTTTTGGTGTTGGTTGGCTTTTTTATCTGCTCCTGCTCACCTGTCTAATTGGCATGGCTACTGATTATCGTCAATCTGTTTCACCTAGATCCCGCAGTTATTTATGCTGTTTGCTTGCCTGCCATCAGCACCAGATTATTCTAGCTGTTTCAATGAGATTAATTCTAGCATTCAAGGAAGTGTTTAGACATTCTGATTCCGACTTGTTTTCTGCCGCTGGATATTCATGTTTTTGCCTTGTCCCTCTCTGCTCTGCTCAGTTTCGTATTTGTACTGACTTCCTGGAATCTGCTCGATATCAAACTTGGACTGTGTTACTGACCTCGGCTCGGATTGTCCTTCTGTACCCTTTGGCTCTCTGATCTCCTGGTCTGTCAACCTGGTTTGGATTGTACTTTGGCTTTGGATTATCGCTCATTGACACTGTTGCTTCCTCGGGATGGCACCAGCTCCTCTCCACCCTGTGCTCTGAAGCGGTAACGATCACAAGCAGCAGACAATCTCCCCCCAGATTCCTCCTCTCCCTCTGGAATCGGACTGAACTCTCAACCAGGTCAGTGGTTTTTTCCTCCTAGTCGTGATCAGCTCGACATTCTTGTCACTGACCTGAGTTTCCTGTTCCTGCAGAGAATCCGGCAATCCGCCCCGCAGATGTTCAGCAACTCACTTTAGTTTCTGAAATAAAATTGTTTGAAAACTGTCCTGATTTTGTCTGCTTTAATATTGGGTCCAAGGTTCTGAAGTCATTATTAAAGGAGTAAATCATGATAATGTAATTAATACTGATATAACTCAAATTCAGGAAAAAGTAAAAACTATTAAATGTGGTTTATTTAACAGGTCTTTTTATTTAGAAAGTTCTTATGACTTGATTTGTTATTATCAAATTGATTTATGTTGCCTTACAGAAACTTGGCTGCAGCAAGAGGATTATGTGAGCATAAATGAGGCAACTCCCTATAGTTATTTCAATTTTCACATACCCATAAATTTTGGGTCATGAGGAGGCGTAGCAAAAATCTTTCAGTCTGACTTACTGATTAATCCAAAGTCAGTTAATAATTACAACTCTTTTTAAAATTTTCTATTTAGTCCTTCCTGTCATTGGAAGTACCGTCACCTCCTATTCTATGGAGGATAAAAAGTGCCAAAATGAAATATATAAATACAGCATTAAATAAATAATTAAATGTGTCAATAATTAATTAAATGTGGGGGCGGGGTTAACGGGAATCGAGTCGCCACCTACTGTATCAGAGTATGTTCACTACCTGTGGATCACAGTCTCTGTAATCGATTTGCTTCGCCTTAATGTGCAGGGTGACCAATCAGGTGTTAGATAACCGCCCCCTAACTTTGATGGGTGAGTTTGACAGATTCTTTTAATGGTTTCGATGCGCTGCGACACAGGACCATGAAATAATTAAATGCACACTGAAATAATTATTTATATTTTTTAATAAAATGAAGACGTATTTTATTAAATTAATTACACATTTATATATTTAGTTCCTTATTTATTTAATTAATTACACATTTAATTAATTGTTTATCGCTGTATTTATTTATTTAATTGTGGCACTTTATATCAGTGACGTGGTTTTAATTAATGAATGACACATTTATTTATTTAATTCCACATTTAATTAATTATTGACACATTTAATTATTTATTTAATGCTGTATTTATTTATTTAATTTTGGCACTTTTTATCCTCCATGCTATTCCAATCAAATAGTTTGGCAGTTAATGCGGCTTTTTAAAAGTTTGTTTTAATTTATTCTGGTAAAATATATAAGGTATATGATGCCTTTAAGGTAGATACAGAAAATGAGCGAGCTTACATTTTTCCATCTGTGTTTGGTCACCAATTGTGTGCACAGACTTTTTGAAGGGCAGGGGCGAAAAGTGCTGCGTTAGACTTATTTGACCTTCAGCTGTCCACCATTCCAATTTCAAAATCAGGAGGGTACAGCTGTTGAGGTAATAAATAGGTATATATGGCACCCAGCCATTTAAGACTTGGAGCTTTCTCACCACAGGTTGGATTTTACCCTTCTGGATCCTTCGGTTCATCGGCATGCTCTGGCTGCTGCAGGTCGCTGCTCCTCTTCTCTCCTGGAACTCTGGTACCGGTTCAGTAACAAGCTACGAAATTCCGCTCCTCTGGACTTCACTCCTTCTTCCGGGCTCAGAAGTCACTGACCTGAGTCTCTATCCCTGCAGAGAAACCAGTGAGCCTGCCTCAGCTGATGAGCAGCCGCAGGTTATCTAAATAATCACTGTCTGTCTCACCTGAATTCTAGGTCCAATGTTCTGAGCCTCCTGACAAAACTGTCCTATCGCCTTTATTGCTTCATTTTCTTTTCTTTATACATAGTTCCCATTATGTTTTTAATATAGGCATATAAACATTCTCTATCCATTCTGGTTTGAGATGCTGCACAGACTCGTTAAGTGGGGCTTTGCTTTATAGCTCTGCCTGTTTTTTTTTATTTATTAATTTTAATACATTTTCCTTATCTGTCCAAGTTAAATATGGATTTTTTTTTTTTTGTGAGGCACAGAGCCATAAGTGAAAAATAAAATCTGCACAGATCAGCTCACCCTGTCTAGTTGCAGCCTCTCTACATAAGTCAGTGTGACATGAAAAAAAATCGGATCAGAGATTAAAAAGTTGTATACAAGAGGTGTGACTGGACTTTTAGGCGAAAAGGGAAAGCTTTTGTTTTGCCGGTCGGTCTCATCTACATTCCTACCCTCACCTATGATCACGAAATCTGGATCATGACTGAAAGAATGAAATCCTGAATAAAAGAAGCTGAAATGAACGTACTCTGATATGCTGAGGTGACTCAGGCATTATTTTTGGATTCGTGTTCCTTGTGAGAAGGCCCAGAGCACGACCCAGGACACACTGGAGTCACATGCGTCTTGCCTGGCCTGGGAGCACTGCGGGATTCCCCAGCAGAGCTTAACTTTAACCAGGATGCTGTGGAAATTTGAGCCACATGATGTGCACTGAGTCGATTAAAGAAATTAAGCAGTCTCTCTTTTACCATTAACAACATTCTTCTTCTTTTTTGAGCTGATGTACCAAGTACATTTCTCCACTGTGAGATCAATAAATTCAATCAACCCTTAAATTTACAAAACAATAAATGGTTCTCTTTGGCAGCAGCCAACAAAAGACAAACCACAAAAATCTTCTGTATATATATTTTTTATATTTTGTTAAGGAGATCATGAAAAGTAAACACTTATATTCAACAAGGTGAAACTAAAAGCAATTTCTAGTAAAAGCTAAAAAAAATTACCTGAACTTAAAATGAAGGCAAGAAAGAGTCTATCATGTAAAGAGCATGACATCAAAAGACATTTCATCAACTTTATTCACTTTTTTTGACAATGAATTAGGAAAACATTTAATAGACAAAACATTTCTGAGCAACATTTCTTTAGCATTGGAGCATCTTTGTACTAGAAGCTTATCAGGGTCCACAGGCTGAGTGAGACCACTGTCAATATTTACAGAGTGCAGCTGTTCGTCACATCCTGGTTTCTTCTGGTGGCAGGCTCATATAATCCTGAAGGAGCTGGTGAAAAGGCCGCCACTTCTTTATGGAAGCTTTGATTGCTAAAATCCATCTGGAAAAGACAAGCGAAATCATCATAAAATTCTGGAGATATTTAGCAGTAACTCAGAGCAGCACCAATGAAAAGATATCCTCTCTGAATGGTCCGACATCATCAGAGATGGCAAAAGTACTCACTTTCCGTACTTGAGTAAAAGTACAGATACTTGTGTTAAAAAATACTCTGGTAAAAGTGGAAGTACTGATTAAACTTCTTTACTCAAGTAAAAGTAACAAAGTACAAGCTTGTAAATTTGCTTAAAGTATAAAAGCAAAAGTAGAAACCACTTTTTTCATGCCGTTGCCTACATTTTAAATGGATGTCTGCCAATAGGACTAGATCTCCGTTGTGTTCATTTTCAATCATCTCGTCGTCCATGCTACTATGCTAACGCCACCGCCACCAAGCTGCAATGATTTGCCACGAATGAATACAGACATCTGTCGATTCATCTTGTAGTGGTGCGTCAAATCAAACGTAGATTCCCATCCAATTAGATTGAATTTGGTATTGATGACGTGAAAAATAATAACGGTAACTCCATTGAAATGATTCAAAACTAAAGTAACGAGCCAATTTTTTAAAATGTAAGGAGTAGAAGTAAAAAGTCGCCATAAAAATAAGTAGTAAATTAAAGTAAAAATATCAGAAAAATCTACTTGAGTACAGTAACGAAGTATTTGTACTTCGTTACTTCCCATCTCTGGACATCATATCTAGATGCTTCCTTGGGCGCCTTTTTATTTTTGAGGGTGGAACTGGCCCACTGACAGGAAATTTACATTTACAGATGCTTTGGTTATTGACGTGTCTGTCACAGGTTAAACTGCCAGCCTGTTGATCTTGGCCATATCTTCCCCTTCTCTCTAATTCCATTTCCTGTCTGGCTAATTAACAAATAATGAAATAAAGGCCACAAGAGCCTTAAAAAAGGGTTTCCCAGATGGTTAATGTTCCTATAAACATGTAATTTTTAGCTGTTAAACAAGCCAGTAAGCTGCTAACCAGTATCACTGTTTCAGATGCCCCTATCTCTGTTAGATGCATAACTGCAGAATGACAGTTAAGAAATAATACATAAGTGGCTACTACATTTATAATTTTTTAGAATCAGTCAGATCTGAATGTTAAACATGAGCCATTGTTGTAACTGACTGATAATGCCTGTAATGATCCTTGCCACATGGGTCAAGAGGATTTACGAGGGATCTTCTTACCGCTTGTTTTCAGCTGAGTTATCAGCACTAAAGTAGAAGGTTTTAAACTCATCAGATGGGGGTTTCAGTTCAATTGTAGACTTTTTTGATCCATAAGCTTGCTCCCGCACTGTGTAACCTTGAAGGTAGATACCCCCTGAAGGCAGAAAGAACATGTTATTTATACTACTGATTCATTTCAGTGATGCAACGTTAGCCAGGCTAATATGCATTTTATTTTTATGAGGTAAGAACTTGTGGTCTTCTTCTTTGCTGAATTATAGCTGTATTAAACAGTTTTCAGAATCAGCAATAGCTAAAGGCTTAAATCATAATTAGATGTTTTGATTTGCATGGCTCAGATGACAGCAGAAGTATCTGTTATTTGTATCTGTTATTGTCCAGATCAAAATTCTGTGGACTTCATATGGAGATAATCTGAATGACAACATTCGATACCAACAGCGCATTTGATAATAGAGCTTCTGACATAGATTCCTACCATGTGCATGGGTTGCCCGTATGCCGCTGTACAAGTAGAGACAGGCGTCTTTTAGAATGCAGTAGTGTTGGATCCAAGAGTCTTTACTTTTGTCCATTTTGTTAAGCAGTCCAAGGCAGTCTGGGTTTTTCATAGCCAGCGGCGGCATGTTGGAGTTGTGTCTTGTGACATCAACCCACACATGGTTCTAAAACAGAGAAATTACTATCAAATTATCAAAGCTGAATGATTGCATTTATAATCACCACCATGATAGAAATAAAGGTCAAAGTAATGACCTTTATTGCTAAGTTGATTTGTGACAGACTTTGGTGTACCTGTGTAATGGGATGAATTGCTCTTTCCATAGCTTCCAACCACCTACAGCCAAAAAGGATAAAAAAAAATAGAGATGGATTAGAAATAGAAGTAACATATTTGTTTTATTTTTATTTTAGCTTACCTTTTCATTTCCTGACTAGAGGTGGCGCAGAGAAAGTACACCCGATTACCAGACTGAGGACGGCACCTGAAAACAAATGGCTTTCCAAGGGAATCGTCTGGCCCAACCTCAGCCCCCTCCAGCTTTACTGATGACAAAGGCTGCCGCTTGCCTTCGTCCTGGATTTAAAGTCACATCATGTTAAATAGATTCATGTTTGATGTCTGTATATTTTAATTTCAAAAGCTTGTGTTCTTTGCTAATACTCACTCGTTTGTTTTTGTAGTAGTACAGGCAGCAGTCGGGTGTGAGAACAAACCACCTCTTCCTCCAGCCTTTAATCAGCCCAGACTGGGTTCGCTTATGAAGGTAACCGCGACACGGTGGCCTGGGTGTATTAGGACCTCGAGCAATGTCTGATCCAATTGTCAATGTTAGAATATCTGGACCTATAATAAACATCACATCTTCCATCAGAGATAGACATCAAATATTGGTAAACACTTTTACCCCTGGTCCTTCAAGAAGCTGAAAGACTTCATGACTATCACTGCTTCCAACAAGCTTACTACGTTTTTACCCCCTGATTTTTATATAGTTGCTTTTTAAATAACTGTAAATAACATTCTGCTGTCATTTTGCACCTCTTCGCTGTTGCTGCTATTTCTTACATCCACCTACTGTAAAAATGTCCACAGTTGTATATTTTGGTTATTTATTCTGTAATATTGAAAACTTATTTTTCTATATCTTTTCAATTTTACTTTAACCTTTTTCACTTTATTCTTTAATATTTATAAACTTTTTACTTTCTATACTTTTGAGACCCTTTTACTGTAATGCCTGTGGCTGCTGTTACACAATCATTTCCCTATAGGGCTTTGAATCCTGAGATTGTGAGTTCGATCCTCCACTCCCACAGACTGCCACTCTGGGTCCCTGAGCAAGACCCTTTACCTCACACTGCCCCCCAGGCACCCCACAATGGCAGCCCACAAGGGCTAAATGCAGAGAAGTAATTTCCGTCTGGGATTATTAAAGTATAAAAAATAAAATAAATAACAAAAAAATCCTGCATGACCGTCTGTCAAATTCTAAGGCATCATGAATGTTGCACATATTTGAGAAAGAGATAATTTCTTTGTGACATACAAGGGTTATTATCCAATGTTAAAAAAACAACAATGCACTGAAATATAAAAAACTAAATGACAACAATGTTGCAGCTCTGGTGAAATAACTTAATATATTATTATACTAAGCAGGCGATTTGTCTGCATTGATAATGATTCACTCACCTCATCACGCAAAATCTAAAGTTGAAATCAGTCAGACCTACTTTCTGAGTTTTTTTTTTTTAGGCTAATAGCAGTTTCACAACTTGGAGACACTATCAAGGAATTAACTTTTAGTATTCACATAGTTTAGCATTCATTAAGGATGGCAAAATAGCAAATGTAGACCTGACAAAAATGTGCATCATCCTACTTGCTGAATACTTTCCTTAAAAGCTACTGAAAAGTGACACTGAAATGTCTCTGCAGCAGGCTCTAATGTTTGGTTTGGTGGTTGCAAAACGGGTTATTCTGAGGGAATGGAAATCCTCTACACCTCCATGCTTTAAGAAATGGCTCAATATGTTGTCCTGTATCTATCTCGAAGAAATTCGATACACTTTGTCAGACAATCATGATAAGTTCCTTGATGTGTGGGGTCCTTTTAATAGACATATTCAAAATAATGGGTTAAAATGACTCCTTTCTGGACCTTTTTTTTATATTCTTTTTTTATTATTTATTATTATCTCAATACGGCCATCCTTTATTGCACTCTTCTTTTATTGATATCCCATGTTTTATGTTGATAGCTTGACACAATGTCTGCAGAATTGTTTGTTGTCCTCTCTGACTCTGCCTCGTGCTTTAATATGCTCTACAGTTTGATCAGTACATCTTTTATACTTTTATCAGTTTGCTGACACTGTTTTGTCTTGTTTTTTGTTTTTGCTGTATTTTTTTCTGTCTTTTGTCTTGTCTGTTTAACTCTGAGAAAGCATAAAAAAAAAAAAAAAAGTGACACTGAAAAATTATTAGTTATTGTCAAAACCTACTTCCACCAGACATGGGTTAGGTTAATAAATTGGTTACTGTATCCAGTTCCTAACTATGCCTATAAACGATGTTGAAATAACTTTTTCTATTTTGTAACTTTACATGATGTGAATTCAGTTACCAGAAATAAAAGGTGTCAGTTAATCAACTGATTATTTGATAAAGTGGACCAAGCATTTTTTAAATGCTTGGTCCACTTTATCAAATCTGCACAAATCTAGTGTGTGGTGGGGCATATATATCATATATAATTAGTATATGTGATATGACTTAAAGTACAGTTTAACTTGTTTTTGTTTTCAGCTTTTTTCAAACAATCATAATTTGCTAATTCCTTTTAGATTTTTGGCTTTAACTTTAGTGTACATAAAATATTTCAAGATTACAAGGCTGTCATTTAAACTACAGTACTCTTCACGATTGCACTGCATATCTACTGTTGTTGGTCTCAGTTTGTTTTCCATGAGCCAGACATGTTCACAAGTCATTTTTTGCAAGTCCAAGTCAAGTCTCAAGTCTTGAGAGCTCAAGTCCAAGTCAAGTCTCAAGTCTAGAGTAGGCCTGTTGCAATATTGAATTAATCGCACAATAAATTCTAATCACATGATTAATAAAAATAAGTTCAATAATTTGCATGCTTGCTTGTTTCTCCTTGTGTTTTCATCTCCTTCACTGAGACGGTATAGCTTAAAGGTTGCTATTATATCTATGGAATGATCATTATCTTGAACTGGCAAGTGAAAAATACATGCTTATATGTCACGTAGCGTTGCATCTGCGACGTTAGTGCTACATGACTGTTTGACAGCCCCTCTGCCATTTTTTTTTTTTTAACCTCTGCTGTGTGCGGGTAAGGCGAGCGGCGATCAGTCAAGTTAGTAAAACAAAAAACACTTAAAAAATAGAATATTGTTCACAAGTCGGAAATCGCGAGTCTAGGTTGAGTCTGAAGTCATTAAATATGCGACTTAAGTGTGACTCGAGTACGAGTCACAAACTCGAGTCCCCACCTCTGCCATGAGCACTTACTCAGCTGTTCTCCCCCAGCACTAAAAAGAAAAACGTAGTCTGTCTCAGTGCTAACTTTAATCAAATCAATCATAATATTTTTATAGAAAGACTTGAACAAGAGTGAAGGGAACTGGACAAAGCTGAAGTCTGAAAGATTAGCTATAGCTATAGTTAGCTATAAGTGTCTATAATCCAGATGAAGCTAACCCATTACATAGATTACAGGCATGTCTTGAAGACATAAAAACCTGGATGACTCTTAACTTTCTCCTTCTGAATGCAGACAAAACAGAAGTTATAGGCTTTGGACCAGAGTCTTAGTTAGTCACTTCATTTGGATGGGATTAAACGGATTTCAGATAATAAAGTAAAAAATCTTGGTGATGTTTTTGATCAGGACCTGTCATTTAAATCCCCACTTCTCCTTCTTTCAACTGTGGAATATTGCAAAAATGAGAAATCTCCTGTCCAGGGATGATGCTGAGAAACTAGTCCATGCATTTGTTACTTCAAGGCTGGACTATTGTAATTCTTTACTATCAGGAAGTCCACAAGCTGTAGTTAAAAGCCTTCAGCTGATCCAAAATGCTGCAGCCAGAGTTCTGATGAAAATGAAAAAGAGAGATCATATCTCTCCTATGTGTGAGGTTAGTGTGAGGGATTGCATTTGAGTCAATGCAATCAACTGGTTTTCCTTATAGAGATGATTTTGAATCAATTTGACTGTATGATCTGGGGAACTGCAAAGTACCTTGAGATGACATGTGTTG